ACTACACATTTTGAGAAGGGAAAAATCCTAACTTCCAGTTTCTAAAACCTAAATTCAAAAGCATAGATTGGAGATATATTTTTCACTCAGTCCATCAAATAACATAGAAAATATTTAGATATTTTTGAAATTGTCAATTTCTGATTTATCTTAACCGTATGCATGTTAGAAGCTCCAACATCCTTGTCAAGGGAGTTAGCACTCCCTTTCATACAATATTTGTTCACCAATTCAACCAATATGTATTAATTGTCTAATATGGGCCAAGAACCATTCTCACTTTTGGATATTCTAAAATTCAGAAACACATGAAAATCCCATTATTCTTTAAAAAATTGTCCATATGATGTGTTACCATGATTATAACTATTTCATAAATCCATCATTTTAATCATTTAAAATATTCCAGGGTTACTATACCTCTAGAATGTTAGTTTATAAAACCATTTATAGTTTAGAAGAATGTCTGTCCTTTTATATATTGAATTGTTTAAACTGTTATTTTTTATTCCCAGTTCCTAAGAACTTCACATCTTTGGATCCTCCAGGCATCCACTGATGCTCCCACACATAGCCAAGATAACTACAAGTCAACCAGATTCCTAGATTATAACAATAAGCAAGTATGCAAAACTTACTTCAATTGCTGGAATTCTGCATATGCATCATCAAAAGCTGTAAGGAAATGTTTCATATGTTATTAACTGTTTCAATGTGCTTAGCTTTCCTCAATCACTCTGATGTCCTATTAGTGAATTTGCCTAATGTAAACTAATAAATAGCCAAATGAGTAAACTGATTATTCAGAAATAATATTATCTGAATAAAAGTAATAATGTCATACTGTTTTTTGGATATACATCTTTCTTTTCAGAATTCTAAATAGATAACAAAATCATAACTTGTTAAGGAATACTCATCTTACCTTGTCCAGAGAGGTCAAGTGTACGTTGATGTTTATCTTTGCCATCAAAAATCTCGAAAGTATATTTTCCTTTATCTTTCTCAGTGGGTTCACAGATCTGCAGCCAGGCCATCTCTTCACTCCCTCCAATTCTCATATGCTCACTAGATGCAATCTTAGCATCTCTTTAAAAGAAGCAACAGGAACAGATTTCAATTCAGAATTTCCATATTATACGAAAGATCCTTCTGGGACAATATTACAAATGTTTGATGGGAGTCTTTTATCACTTATTGTTAATGTCACAGTAGATTTTTCAATTACCAATTTATTAACTATAGCAAAACCCAGATCTGAAAGTATTTTACAATTAAATCTGATGTGTAGTTTTTCAAGATACCGTATTATTTATTATAAGTCTATTAGTCACAACAGAATTGGCTTAAAAACTCCCTTGCCTTCTAAGGGAGTATGAGCTCTGTACCACAGTTCCAATATGTAAATTGAAACTATTTATACCAAGCAGATGTATATAAATTAGTTCTTAAAGTTACTTTGATTTAGAAAGAGATGTGAAAGATTTGTAGAAATTATAATCAGGGGAATATGAGGAACAGGACTTCAGGGCCAGATAGAAATTAAAATGTGAATCTATTTCTCTCACATACTATCTACAGAAGAATAAAAGCTCCATAAAGTTACCTGCTTTGGGGTTTTGCAGAGAACTGGCTGTAAGACTTATGGTATATTTTATTACCCTTGCAAGTCACCAACTATTCCTTGGATTAAGTTAGGAAAAGGAATCCTCCAGTCTTCCTTTCCTCCTTACCACCATAGCATTATATTCCTTTTTTTTTTTTTAATTAGTATTTATAAAAACCATGGCAAATGCATGGAATCCCTGGTTAAGTGGTCGACTCCTAGATGAAAGTTTGACAGCTTGAACCTACCCTGAGGCTCCTCAAAAGACAAGCCTGGTGATCTGCTTCTGAAAGATGACACCCTTGAAAACCCTATGGACAATTGCTACTCTGCACACATGAGATAGCTATGTATTGGAATGATATAGACAGCAACTAACAATGACAAGAAGAGTGGTAAATACAAAACTCTGTGCTACATTCTCCAGAGATACAAATAGCGATCCTTAGTGTATTATGTACATAATATGTGCTCACAGATAATATCAATCTAGAATTAAAAATGATAAGTTTCATGGGAGCAAAATACAGAAATCTATGAAGTAAATGGTGAAGAGGGCAGGAGGAATCTACAATAAATTCATGGAGGTTGTATCATGAGAGAATGGTCTTGAAGAATGTGTAAGATTTGAGCATGTGAGTATTAGAAGAGCATTTCTGATAGAAGGAAGCAAAGCCAGCCAGACAGAACACATTGAGTATCCAGTGAGCAGTTGAGTCACTGCTCAACAATGAGGCAAGAATACTGGAAGGGAAAGATCAGAGGTTTGAGGCAGCTGAATTTTCCTTCTGATTTTATGAATGGATTTCAATCAAATAACTTAATCTCTCTGATCCTCTATGTAAAAAGAAGATATAATACCTACCTCCTAGGATTTTCTAATAAATCAGTAAGAGATGTTAACTTTGTGGCCAAGATCTGGCACAGAGTAGATGTTAAAAACATATTGGTTATCTCCCCTCTCATTAGCTGCTCCCCAAAAGACCATCAGCAGTTGCCTTGGAGTCGACTCCAACTCATGGCAACCCCCTGTGCATCAGAGAACTGGGCTCCATTGGATTTTCTATGGTTGATTTTTTGGAAGTAGATAGTTAAGTCTTTGTTCTAAGACATTTCTGGGTAGACTTGAATCTCCCAATTGGTGGCTGAACACATTAATTGTTAGCACTTCTCAAAGACTTGTCCCCCAGAGAAGGGGAAAGGAAAATCAAACTAGATGATCTTTAAAGAAGCTTACAATCTTAGAAATTTTAAATAAGATGCTGACCATGAAGTTTCACTAACGATGAGATCAAGCAAAAGAACACATTCCTTTGCTAAATCACATTTTTTGTTAACCTTCATCCATATGCTCTGTGTTGAGCAGAAAGTAGTAAGAAAGTGAATCCCATTCACCACTGCAAAATCAAGAATCAATATACCAGGCGCATAAGAACACAGTGTTTGAAATCAGACAGTACTGTGTTCAGCTTCTAGTTCTGTCCTTTGCCAATTGCTGCAACATAAATTAGCCCAGGTTCTTCCTCAGTGGCTGAGTGGGGGTAATTGTGATGATTCAGTGTCACAAGCATGTAAGGCACATGCTCATGGCTAGGCTGTTGAATATATTCAAACCAGGAGCTATTTATTATTCAGGTGATAAATAGGCCATTGCAGCACTCAGACCTACTCATTCCTATGTATCAAAGGAAAATTAGACTTTAGTGATACTCAGTTCTTGCAGAAAAAAATCTTCCAAGAAAATGCACTGTTCAGCAAATTGGGCAATCAATCCTAAACCTTGAAATGCTTGGAATAATGAGACTCACATCTGTGCAAACACCCAAACATAAACATAAACAGACACGAACAACAATAGGAAAATCACAGCTTGATTAAGAAAGGCTTCTTTATCCCCTGTATACACTTACAATTGAGTATTTTGATAGACCAATCAGCAATTGTAGATCAGTAGGTAATTGAGCCTGCTATAATTGTTTACTGACTGTCGTACTACATTCACAAAAACATCAGTTCAACAAGTGTGTAGAGCCTGTTCTTAATAGAGTAAGAAAAACTCCTTTTTATGAGCACTACCTAGTGGCCCTTAGTGATCTTTACCACACTAACTTTGTTTAAGCTGTTAATGTGAGAGTTAGACTTAATATTTCAAAGTTCAAACAGATACACACATGTGCTTGCACACACACCAC